AAATACTCAAGTAAATTAAAGTACCTCAAAATTATACTTAAGCACAGTACTTGCGTAAATGTACTTCGTTTTCTGAATTTAGATTTTCTTTATCAAAGCTGTTGCATCTCCGAACCAGCAGGTGGCTCTAATGCAATAAACTGGCTGAACAACAAATAAAAACCAAAGAAGAAGAACAAGAACGCGACGACGAAGAAGCAGAAGAAGAAGAAGTAGAAGAAGCTCCTCCCATTCAACATGGCGACGTAGAGGGACGTCCACGCTCGTTTGTTGACATTTATTTGAAAACTCTATTATAAGCTGCATTAGTGGATTTACAGCTTCTACAGACATGTCGAGACTCATCGTTAAAAACCTCCCTAACGGGGTAAGTGACCTGCTCGGTTGTCAGCACTCAGTAACAGCAGCTTGTTGCTTCTCACCTGCTCACAGTCGGTGTGTGTTGTGTGCAGATGAAGGAGGAGAGGTTCAGGTCCATGTTTGCCGCCTTCGGCACCGTGACAGACTGCACCCTGAAGTTCACCAAAGACGGAAAGTTCCGCAAGTTCGGCTTCGTGGGGTTTAAAGCCGAAGACGACGCGAACAAAGCCCTGAAACATTTCAACAAGAGCTTCGTGGACACATCCAGAGTGACGGTAGGACTTCAGGGGGAGCTGAACACCCGCCTTGTTGATGTTATGATCATTTTAGCTGTTGTTAAACCCCTTTGTTGTTCTGTACTGTAGGTGGAGATGTGTAAAGCTTTTGGAGACCCCACTAAAGCCAGAGCCTGGAGTAAACACACTCAGAGCACAGGACAGGAGAAGCCCTCTGTTCCTGTTGACACGGAGGGAAAAAAGGTGGGCACACCTGCAGACACGAGATTTCCTTTTCTGTAAAATGTCCTCTCTAAATAATGCAAACAGTATATGAGGTGTGTCCGAAAAGTTCCAGGACTGGTGTCACAAAAGATATATTTCGTACCCAAACTACAAACTACAAGATTCCCCTTCAGACCATCAACCAGCACGTCAACGAAGAGATCCTTTGGTGTTTGCTTTGTTCAGTGCGTGAGAAGGGGCGAGAGTTGTGGCAGGACAAGTCATGGCTGCTTCACCATGACAACGCGCCTGCTCACAATGCCCTGAGCATCCGACACTTCCTGGCTGAGAAGAGCATTGCCGTGCTGGAGCAACCTCCCTACTCACCCCACCTGGCTCTGTGGGATTTTTTTTACTCTTCCCCAAGCTCAAGGGGGTCATCAAGGGGACCCGTTTTGAAGACGTGGACAACATCAGGATGGCTGTGACGACGGAGCTGCGGAGGATCCTGGAAGAATCCTTCCAGGAGTGCATGGCGGCGTGACAGAGAAGGCTGGGAAAGTGTGTTAGACTCCAGGGGGATTACATCGAAGGGGAAAACTTGTAGTTTGTAGTTTGGATTTGAAATATATCTTTTGTGACACCAGTCCTGAAACTTTTCTGACACACCTTGTACATTATGTCATCCTAAAGGATAGTAATAACTTGACAAAATACTGACAGGACTTTATCTTCTTCCGGATAACACTAATATACATCTGCCTGAACAGCAGAAGTGTAATATTCAGTCACACATTGTTTAGGGAACCAGGTTTATTTGAACTGCTATGAAGTTTATCTCTGCAACTCCAGTCGTGTAACGTGATTAAAACACTGCAAGGTAATTTTATGTGTAAAGTCAGTCTTACCTAAGACAGCTCTGATGGAGCTTCAGATTCATTCAGAGAAGCTTCAATACAAATAATTCCAACATATAAACCTGGAAATCTGTGTGAACAGCTGACAGCTTCATAAACGGAAGCTTCTGAATTCTCTGCAGCTTTCATTCGGAACCAGTTTCTGTGCAGAAATGTGAAGAAAATCCCTAAACACTGCAAACTGCTCCACTCACTGTGCAAAGAATCTTTACTGCCTGTATTACATCCATGGGCTGGATGCGTCTTGTAATGTGCAACAACATATTCTCCCTCAGACACAACCAAGTGTATAAATAGTAGAGGTTGTCACGGACTTAAGTTTTCTTT